GGGAGAAAGTATTAACTAAAAATATTTGAAAAAGTTGGAAACCAAGAAAAAAGATCTATCTTTATTTGTAAATAAACGTAACATAGATAAATGAAAGCGTTCAATCTCTACTAAAATCATCAACAGGCAAATATGACACTAGCAGAGACCGAAACGGGTCAACCAAATGTGATCCGAACCCGACTCCACCCTAATCAATATCTTATACGTTGGTCCGAATCTGACTCGAACGGAGCCGAAAATTTTGCAATTATGATCCGAACTAGACCCGAAACATGAACACGTTTTCGTACGCATTCGCAAAGAAACACTTCTTTCCTATGGAAAAGTTACCTTAGTCAGATTGTTTTGAAATGTTTTCAAAAAAATGGTCGGATTCCTTAAGGTTTCCGTCATTTTTTCCTTTTATGAGTAGAAAAGTTTGAGTAATTCAGGCAGTCTATTTTATATTGACCTGAGTTAGATCGAAATGGGTCAGCCAAGCGCGACCCGAACCCAACCCGACCCGAATCAATATCTTTTACGTTGATCTAAACCTGACCCGACTGGACTCAACCCGACTCGTTTCGGTCTCTGGACACTAGTAAGCGTGTCACTTTAGTTGCACTTTTTTTTTGCAAATTTTTTTACTACTTTACCTTTTACTTTTCAGGGGTCACAAAGAAAACTACTTGTTACTCATAACAAGAACTAGTCAAACATTTCTTGTTACAGGTAACAGGTAACAAATTTTATTACTTTTTTACTTAAGCAAAAGAAATAAAGTAAGTTTTTTTCTCATTCTTAACATCGTATGGATTTCTGTCTTTCATGATTAAACAGAAATATCAATCATTTAATGACTATTGGAATAACATTTTTGAAGCGACACAATGATTTCAGACAGTTGTGACTGTGCTGTGTTAAAAAAGAACAACTATACAGTTTCTGAACCTATTAAAAAGAATTTTGAAGGCTGCAAAACTCTTTAGAAAAATGAAACATAAAAGAGAACGGGATAAAAGCGGTATCGTTGATGTCTACTGTTGAATAATTGAATGAAATCTTTATCAGAGGCGTACTACGTCTCATTTTGCAGAACTCGAGTTGGTCTGAAATTCCACATATTCAAGTGTTTTATTCAACTTAAAGATTTGCCAAAAGAAGTTAATTTCCCCACATTAATATAACCTTCGGATTCCGGTTTCTGCAGTAGTTCAACTGATTCAACTTCTGATTCAACTTCTGATTCAACTTCTTACGTACCTTCAAACTATTTCACTTTATAAGACTACCTTCTTTGTATGAAATTCCACTAGCAGTTTTTCCTTTTCTTAGATAACTTTATTTGAAAAAACAATTATTAGCTTCTTGCATTTTCCCAGACGTTAGTATGGAACAACCGTGGCTAAAGAAATCCACACTATCCAGTCATTTTTAAATAAAAGCAAATAATTATTTTGTTACGTGAAAGGGGAAATCATCTACTTTATTTTAATATAACGAAAATCATGTAGAACCGTAGTTTAAGGAAGACGACTCTACAAGTTTTGTGAGTAGTATTCAATGCTTTCCCGTTCTGACACCATTTATGAAATCCCAAAAATAATTGAGTTAATCGTCGCACACAGTTTAACGACAGTTTAACGATTTTGTTTTTTAGAATACTCTGGCGCTCAGAAGAAGAACATTAATTCATGTCAAGCGGGATCGAAAAAACATCAAGAAGTCAGGATCTTAGACTCTTGAATCGTTTACCCAAGATCTCATGGGCCGAAATTTTAAGATCTTGGTTGAATACATTCATGATGTTTCAAGATGGGTAAAAGCTTTTCTTTACATTTTATATTTTTTCATGTATGACTGCCATGGTCATCAGATAAAGATGAGATAAATTGTTACTGATGAGATCAGCCGGAAATTAAGACTACGAATCGATATAGAGACGAGGTAATCGACATAGAACAATCCGATATTGAAAAAACTTTTCTTGTCACCCAATTGATTCCTACCCTGGAATTCCGTGACACGACATTCCCACGAACGAAATTACCGCGAAGAGTTGTTTATTGGAAAAGAAGAAGGAATGAGCCTGGTTTTGTATTTCGTATATCATGTTTTGAAACTTAAGTGAAGTTATGTGGTTAATAGTCGAATTATGTGATACAGTTACAGATATACAGTTTTATTGCTCATCGTATTTAACCGGTTTTCGCTTCGGTACATGATAAATTGAAGCTTACTGTTTATCAGCATTGGTTTGTATATAAACAGGATTTTTATAGCAATGCCGAACCCGTGACACGACCTTCCCACGAACATTAGCGCGAACAGGATCCCGACTCTTCCATGAATTTTTCATAGTACAGATTTGGATATTTTTGGCAGTGTAGCGTGGGAGGTGAGGGTGTTGGCAGTATGAGAGGGTCAAAACTGGCCATCCATAAATTTTATCCATAAACCTCTACTGTCGCCGTAAAATTTCTAAATTCCACTTTGACAGTAGAGATTTATGCATAAAATCTATGGATGCCTAGTTTTGACCGTGTGAGAGTGAGTTCAAACAGTAGTTTCACACAAAACATACTTTCATGATGCGAAAATGTATATTGGTAACTGTATCACATAATGACTATTCACCACATAACTTCACTCAGGTTTCATGTCGTTCGCAGATTTGTCGGTGTACCTTGAATTCTAGTGGAGAAAAAATGATGGAACGAGCAAAATCGAACGGTAGTTTTGTTCGTTCTAGAGTGATATGGCCAAAGATGAATTTAATTTAATTCAGACACACATCAATCGAAATTGAAATTAAAATTAAATTTAGATATTATTGAGAATTGTTCAAAATATGAGATTTTTGCTGATGAAGTTGCCAGTTCGTTTCTAAAATATTCGTTCGAACCAGTTTACAGCAACAAATATTGTCCGATAAGAAAAAATCAAATTCAGAATCAATGTTGTGATTTATGTAAGAAATTTGTTGCTTTTTAGTTCTCTTGTTGAATACTTTGTTTATTTAACGATTCCAGTATTCTTTGAAAATGACACATTATGATCATAAGCAGGCGGTTCCGTCTGGGCCAACAATCAAATTATCTGCTGGAATGGTTCTGGACAAAAATGGTTGAAAAAGCGACAACGGATGAGAAAAGAATTTAATGAATATGACCTTCTTTCTTTCTAATTTAGTCTTTCATCGCATTAAATCGTCAATTTTGAATCAGTCAATCGTCATTTATCAATTAACATTTTATCCTTCTCATTGTACAAAATTATTCTGAAAAAGTAACAATGAGTCACAGCAAGAAAACAATTGTGGCTGATCTTTTTCGAACAGAAGATGATGAATATGTCGCAGTAAAAACGTTTTATATTTTGTCGCAGTAGTTTTCTTTTAGTCTTTTTATATATAAAATTAATATATACCTATATATGTGATTACCAATTACTAGTTGTTATGAGCATAATAACATTTCCTTTCTAAAACAGCCATTTTATCACTCACATGTGCCTCTATCATGAATTATGCTATATGCCTTAATTAAATGATTGGATTTCCTTATATCATATAGTAAACAGCACAAGTATACTTGTTTTGTGCTGAAGGCGTATGTTGCACGTCGCACTCTGAAAGTTCCATGAGCTAAAAATCATCCTCTCCTATTTGAGTACCGCACAGTCGAAAGGATAAAGTTTTTCCAGAGAAGAGAAAATTCACATTAAGGAAAAGTTTTGTTTTTGGGGGGTCTTCCCAAGTCGACTGAAACAGTTCACGTATACGTTTGGAATGTCTGATACGCGTTAGAAACGCACGTTTCGACCGCGTGTTGAACATATTGTTTCGACCCCGTACGTTGTGTTCGAACGCCAACAAAATACGTGTGAAAGATAAGCATCCATTAAGCTTCAACGTGTCAATAACGTAATTCATACTGATACTGCCGCTTAATGGAAGCATACTTTGACTAAAGTTTTGTTTTCCTGAATCATACTTGCACTATTGTGTTTTGAGAAATGTATTGTCGCTAATGTTAAAGGGAGGCTTGAAACGTTAACTGATTGGATTAAGGAGTAGTCGCAGTTCATTCAGTCTGTATATCTACCTATCTATCTAATATAAGTTCTCTTGAGTGCAAATAGGTTACAGTTGTATAAGGTACCGTCACCAATTTGATTAAACCGAACACGTGGATTTCCTTCTGTTTTTTCTGCACTCTCTTCTTAATTAGTGTTTTGTTGCGTTCGTCAAAAAGTCTCTTCATCAACAAAAGCTGTGTTGTAGACCATCCTTTTGTCCAGCCTTTCTTAAAATGTTGTTCTGATTGATAGTGCTACTCTATCACAGAATGTATGGTTAAGGAATGCTGCTCTTGTAGTTGTAGAGAAGGACCTTTTTGTGTTAGACTTTCGCCAAACAGCATACATTATAAATTCAACCCGGGGCCTGTTTCTCAAAAAAACGTAAGTATTTCCCTTCAGTGGATTTTTAAGGGAAAAATTAAGTGGTATTTAAGGGACACTTAAGTTTATCTTTAAGTGCGTTTCTCAAAAAACGTAAGTTAACCAGAGGTCATGCAGTAAGAACCACGCATCTTTTAACAACTTTAGATTATTTTGATAAAATAGTTTCTTCTAAAGTTATTTTCTATCTAGTTATTGTGGGTCTGACTACGAAAAATCATAAAATAAACAAGTTACAAATTATAAATAATCTTTCACTTAAAAAATTAAGTGAAAACTTAAGGGTGATCGAGAGGTCCCTTAAGTTAAGATGCTTTCAAGAAACTCAGCAAAAAAATCTTACTTAAGTCAAATTTTTTACTCAAGCAAAACTTAATTTTTTTTGAGAAACAGGCTCCTGGGTTGACACAGACAGATGATCAGGAGTTCTGTATTTCAGTTAATTTACGTTTTCTCTGTTTCTAGGATCTTCTGTATTTATTTTCTTACTTCCGTCTCAATTCTAGATTGATCATTACATAGTTTTGTGTCTGAAGATGTCATCAAAGCGTTACATGAAGAAACCAGTACCGCCTAAATTTGATTCAGAAGATGAAGATATTTCATTGGATGCTAGCCAACGATCCGATGATAGCTCTCTGTCGCAATTTGAATCGATTAGTGATAATTCTATTACTATCGAACCAATAATGGCACGACTGAGTACGATTAGCCATAGTCAAACATTTTCACAAAATTCTATTGATGTTCCAATGACAACACCCATTTCAACACGACGTAGCAGTTTTAAACATCCGCAATTGTCTTCATCACCGTTTCTACCACGATCAGGTGAGACACCAGTAGCAGTTGTCAAAAAAGAACTAACATATACGATTAAATTTGCAACAACAACAACATCATCAAACAATAAAACAACACCATCTTCTAATAATAAACGAAAACGGTCAGATCAAGAGAGTGTTATCAAATCATCGTCACCCCGTGAACAGGAGAATCAATATCAACAACAAAATGATATTGATTTATCGTCTATTTTAGTCAAAACACCTGATCAATCACCGTTTTCTAGACGTAAACATTTACAATTAGTTCAAGAAACATCATTTCGTTCACCAAAATGTTTAAGGCGTAGTCGTTTGCATGAGACAACAACAACATCGGTTGTAATGAATGAAAGTGAAAAGCATGGTAAAGGTATGCGTGTAAAAATTCTCTAAATTATATAGTACTCTTAATATCTTTTTTATTTAGGTGATTTAACACATACAAATCCCTTTAGTCCAGAATTATCTCTATCGAAATATATGAAAACAGAGCGACTACCATCACCGCGTTATGAAACACGTTTAGCTATAAAACGAGCAGCAGCATTAAATAATAGTTTTCAAAAACCGCCAGAACCACAATCACAATTATTAATGTTACGTGAATTAGCGATAAAACGTTATGATGAAGAATTTCGTGAAGAAAATTTAATCGGAAGTGGCGAATTTAGTCACGTTTATTCAGTAACAAATCGTTTGGATGGCCTAACTTATGCTATAAAAATGTCGAAACATAGTATTATTGGCACATCCTATGAAAAACTAGCATGGCGAGAAGCGTGTGCACATGCTGTATTGGTCACTCACGAAAATATTGTACGCTATTATTCAGCATGGATCCAAGATAGTAAATTTTATGTTCAACTAGAACATTGTAATGGTGGTGCATTAGACGATATTATACAAAAAAATCGTTTATACCCAAATAGTGAACAGTGTACATTAAATGAACTTGTGTTGAAACAAATTCTACATCAAATAGCTGATGCATTATCCTATATGCATTCGAAGGACATAGCACATTTAGATGTTAAGCCGGCTAATATCATGTTATGTTATAAAGAAAAAGGAATATCGCCGTATGGACGACTGGAGCACATGATGGATGAACAAGACAATATTCTTTATAAATTGAGTAAGTATTAACAGAATTACAGACTGTATTTTTCTGTGGTCTGCTGCACCTTTTTGATCAAGGGAGAGAATTTTTTTCAATTCAAAAAGAAAACAAACTTTTTTCGTATAAAGTAAAAGATATACTATCTGTATTTTTGAATTTTCATCGTATGGGGTGAAAAACTCGTCTGCTTTTATCCGAGATTAATAGTAAAGGCACTTTTCCCCACATTTTTGTCAGAACAATTTAGACCGATGACTAACCTTCATTTTGAACGAGAAGGTATTCACATATCGCTGCGAAAAAGCTAATTTCTAATTGATATGCTGATGGTAAATTTTCATTTATATTTTAAGCTGATCTTGGTCATGTTTGTTCAATTAGTAAATGCACTGTTGAAGAAGATGGTGATAGTCGTTATTTAGCATTAGAAGCAGTACAAAAACCAAATTTACCAAATTTATCGAAATGTGACATATTTTCTCTTGGTTTAACATTGTATGTTAGTGGTACAAATAAAGAATTGCCAGTTAATGGGTAAGTTATTCTTTTATCAGCCGATTATTTGTTTGCTCTAGACTTTGCGACTATCTACATTTTTCTTCCAGCTTTCGGCTAATTTAGTTTTTCGATAAAATTTTAATGTGTGACTCTTCTAGGAATGAATGGCAACAATTAAGATTGAATATTAATCAACATTTAGCATTGATACAATCATGTTCACAAGAGTTCAATGATTTATTGTTAAATCGGATGTGTAATGTTGACCCATCTGAAAGACCATCAGCATACGATTTATTGATTAATCCTGTAGCATCACCAAGTAATCCGTCATGCCGCGAAACATTGAGGTAAAATTTCGTTCAATGTTGAATTTAAATTGACGACATGAGCAGAACAAGTGTTAAAAACACTTCTAGGTTTTATCAATAATATATCCGTTGAAATATCCTGTTTCTAATATTTGAAACGCACTCCATTCTTTTTTTGTAGACAAGTTTCCTCTTTTTTGCCAAACGCGATTTCTAACCTGCAATCTTCTTATAACATTGCGACAACGTTTGCTTTTCTAATAAATAAACTATGACGTGTGTTTTTCCTTCTAGACACAGTTTAAAACGCGAACGACAAAAAAATTCATTATTGAATAAAAAATTATTGGAACACTACCTCTTAACAACAGCAACAGATAATAATAATGATGCAGGTGGTGTACAATACAACAATAACAATGATGCAAGTATTCATTTGTTATTATCACCAACTCAGTCGTCCACAGCAAATGTTCAACATTATGCTTCAACACCAAATGATTTATCATCATCTTCATCATCTACGAATGGACGTTTAAATATAAATACAAATTTCGGTTTTATCAATCCAGATCATTTCCATTTAAATAATTCTCTGACATCACCAATGAATGGTGGTCAACGAGGAACGTGTTCTTCGAAAAACAATAGCAAATGTGCTGTTATGGCTCGCCATTATAGCTCAATTATTTAAGAACGGCAGTTTCTCCTCTTATTCTGCTTTTTTTTCATTCCATTGCCATGACGTCAAACGCCATATACTGTTCTATTTTTTTTTATTCAGCTGGTCTGGAATGATTCCTTTTTTGAATGTTTTGATATCGTTGAAGACGCTGGTCGTCGTGTGGTTTTCCTTGTTCTTATTTAGATTACTTCTTTCTGCATTCAATACACGTGCAATAAAAAAAACAAAAATGAGCATCATTTTAAATAGTAACTCGTCAGAATGAAAGAGGTTAGACTCCTCTAATAATTAATGTCGCTGAGATCAATAAAAAATTAAACAAACCGTGTAGAGAAATGTTTTCGTTGGTAACTAATGATGTAAATGTAACGGAGAAAAAAAACTAGTTACAAACTAAGAAAACATTTGTCAAAGTTATTCTCTTAAACACTATTTTTTTTTTAAGAATATAACTCTCTGCCTTTGTTAGTTCTTCAAGGAGTAAGCTATCACTAGCAGACATTTGCGTTTGTGCCAGATATGCAAGATATTTTGTTTATTCTTTCCTCTTTAATTTCTTGAAAACAGTAAACTGTGCTGTTTTTTTTTCTCTAACTGTCTCTTTCTCTCCATATATTTCTTGCTATTGTTGTTTTTTTATGAATGAACTTCTTTTTTTATGTCGTGTTTCTTTTGGTTTTCTTTACTGTTCGTTTGTTTTTCCTTTGTTATTGGACTATATATTCGGTGGATATTTTTGTTTTCTTCTCTAGTCACAATCACAAACGTCAAGGAAAATTGATGTCTTGTTTTTTCTTGTACGTTGAGAGCCTTTTTTTTTGTTTTTGTTGTAAAAGAGCAAACTGTTACGAAAACTGAAAAGCTTCTATTTTTCTATATTGTTAACAAAATAAAAATATTTTTTTTGAAAGAATATATTGACTGATATGCTTCTTGTTTCAAATTTGCAAGTATCTCGAATGGGGTCCTCTTACAGTAGTTCCGGTCAGGGAAGAGTCGGTCGGAGGCCACGTCTCTTCCTGAATATCGAGTTTTCCTCAGACTCTGCTTTTGTCATCATTTTCCACTGAGAGAAAATGTTCTCTTCAATCCATTCTTCTGTCTTAGTAAAGAAATTGTCCGAGCGTCAAAACAATCATGATGTACGATGGCGACATTCAAATATAAGCTTATGAAAGTTTCAGATAGATGGACCGAATAAAGACCTTATACGTACAAAGTTTAATGAGGGGAAAAAATTCATTTCTTTTCAGTTAATGCTTATTAAGTTAAGTTAATATTGATTAAAGTTAGAATATCGATGTTAGAGGACTAGTAATACTAGTGAGAAGTCTTGCTGATACCTTTTCTCTCAAGTCTCAAATGGATATAGAGATGGTAACGATAGAAATGTATTCCTTATATTTATTTACAGAATGAATATGTTGTGTGAAACAGTTGTTAAAATATGCAAATTAATTATTAAAATTATTTATTAATAATAATATACTTCTCTGTTTTTGTTTTCTTTTCAAAATTAAGTGATACTACTTTTGACAATCTGTATTCTTTTCTCATTCTAAATAGAATTTTTATCTTTATATAGTTTATAGGTTAAAGGTGTTTTCTGAAATGTTGAGCATATGATACTTTCGGTTTCTTTCAGAGTTAATATAAATGTAAGAATATACATGTAAGAAATGTGGTTGTATGTGGCTGTATTTTGTTTAATATTGGCTATTCCATTTATTTTCTATTATTTATCGTTGTATGTTCTCAATGACAGTCAATTATATCGTTTTAAATATGGTTTATATGTCTACATCACGATAGTCGTGTCTACTATATTATTACCAATATTTGCATTTCGTCCATACAACGCATATAACATTCGACTCGCATCTTATTTACTTAATAAAATATATCCCCATTTTGGTCTTAGATATAATTTGGAAAATAAACACTTTTTACATATTGATGGACCATATATTGTTGTCGCAAATCATCAATCGAGTATTGATTTTATTGGCATGATGAATTTATGGACAGATCATATTAAATATTGTTCAGTTTTAGCCAAAAAAGAATTACTTTATGCTGGACCATTTGGAGTAACTGCATGGCTTGCTGGTGTGGAATTTATTAATAGAATGAATTCTAAACAAGCTGCAATAACAATGAAAAGTATTATGGAAAAAATTAAATTAAAAAATTTAAGATTGTGGATATTTCCAGAAGGTAAGTACCATCTACTATCTGTTTCAATGCATAATGAACTCCGATGTTTTATAAATAACTTTTGAACTCTCAACAAAATTGCTTCAAACTTTCAAAATAAACTTAGTTTGAAGTGTTTCATCACACAGAAAAACCCTCCTAAACTGTGCAGCAGGGAAAACTAAGTTTATTTTGAAAGTTTGAAGCAATTTTGTTGAGAAATGAAGGCGCGATAAGATTTTTAATTGAGTACGTTCACAGTGGAAAAATCGTGTTTTCTGAAAAATTGATCTTTTGCAGCTTCCTTGATCCGAACAACAAAAAAACATTGCCACAGTAATCAGCGTGTCCAATAGCCTATGTGCCATGTGTTTTTAAGGCTCGTAGAGCTCAGATTTGGCTGATAGGTAGGTCCTCGGAGACTGCCTGTAGTGTACGAACCATGATAGATGGAGCTCTAGGATTTGTGTCATTGTAAAGGCGGAAGTCTCTTCTACATAACAGACATATTTGAGCCTAGCTCACTATGCAAAGTCTACGAACGGCGAGCTCGGACTTTTTCCTTCGAAAGGTACACCACGGTAGACCTGTTCTGGAAGCTTCGTTATTTTATAGATCTATGTGCTCCGGTGTCTAGTTTAAGAAACTAAAAATCGGAGGACTCTAGCTCTTGTCGTTCAAAAGTTATTTATAAAACATCGGAGTTCATTATGCATTGAAACAGATGGTAGTTCAAAATTTTTTTTCTTAACATTTATTTTCTTTTTTCTTTTAGGTACACGAAATATGGATGATGAATTTCGTCCATTTAAGTCGGGAGCATTTCGTTTAGCAATACAAGGACAAATTCCAATTATTCCCGTTGTTTTTTCATCTTATAAAGAAATCTACAGCCCTAATAAATCCAATTTATTTTGGAAAAATGGTGTAGTGACAATCAGATGCCTTGAACCTATTGAAACAAAACATATGACAATGGACGATTTTCCACAATTAACTACAACAGTACGAGAGAAAATGATGAAAGAATTTAACATGTTGAAAACTATACCAGATATTTGAAACTGATAACAAGGCTACCAAAAATATGTGTATCTGCATTTTTATGATATCGTATTAATACTAAGCGTTTATTTTATCGTTTTTAAATAACGTTTTTCGAGTTTATGGGCAAAGTTAAGAATAGAAATTTTAAAATCAATGCGGCTATCATATTAAGAATTTTAATAAAAATTAAAATTAAAAATTAATTTTTATTTTTTATTATTTGATTAAAACTTTTTATTAAAATTCTTAATATAATAGCCGCATTGGTTTTAAAATTTTTATCGTTTTTATTTTTTTAGGAAAATATTTTTCTAATATTAGAGGGTACTGACTCTTTCGATATATAAAATTCCAACTCTTTTGTTCTGTGAACGAAGATTAAGTATTTTACAGATTGTCTAGGTAGATAGATAGAGATAACTCAAATCTTATTTTCCGATGATCAGATTACATAATACCTTACATGACTCATCAAGAACTATTTTTCTTGAGCTATTTCAAATTTTTATGCGCTTGTCATATGTGTTTTTCATTACTTCTATAGTCCCTCACTTCTTATTTCATAGCAAAAAATTGCTTTTAATGTTGCTTTATTGTTGATGCTAATAGAACTAAACATCATGAAGCTTATTTTTCTAAAGTTTTAGAGTAGACATTTTTTTCTACATAAACGACCATCTATACTGGAATACTGCAATACTTTTCTTACTATTATTCAAATTTTCGTTTCTTTTAAAAGTTACATTCCTCACCGACGCTTCTCACTCTGATAGACGTTCATATTATTTTCTTTGACAACAAGTTATTCTGATGAACAATGAATAACTTGTCGGTTGTTTTTCATAAATTTAAATGGGTGAATCAGTTTAAACCGAATGATAGCAATAGTAACGCAATAACTTGTTTTCGCTATTTTAACAGTGTTATTATAGTATGTTTATTTTTTTATTGTTTTCCCTTAATTAGATACATCGAATAAGAAATTCTATGCTATTTCTTTTTATCTGCAATTAAAAGAATGAAATTTTTATTTTTATTTTACTTTGTTTATGTTTTTGATGTTTAATTTTTTGTATTTCTGTCAAGTCTAAGGCAATAAAAATTTTCAATTTTGAACTAAAAGCGAAGAAAAAATCTTTACAAAGCACACGAATGAAATGATACTTATACAAATGGAACATCCAAAAAGTTTTCTTTCGTTTGTTCGAAGTTTTAGATTGGCTATAATGTTTAAATCGACTGGTAGACAATGTCCGCATGAAGTTCAAGTAAAACAAACGACAGCAGAATGTGGTGTAAAGTTTAAATGTAATTGATAACCTTTCGTTTAATTGTTCATCTTCTCCGCCTCCTCCTCCGTTCCATACAAATCCTTTGAATATTTTTAAGGTCCTATATGTGGTGAAATATTGTATATCACACCTGAAAATGGCGAATTAAATAATCGAACAAATGAACTACGAGAATCACTTGAACTATTACCATCTCTTGTTCCATTACGCATTCGATGTCATCAAAAACTTGATGAATGGAAAGATAATATAATTGAAAGTATCTACGAAATACATCGATCAAAATTTAATGAAATCAATTCTATTTATGAAGAACTTGCTGAAGAAATAATCAAATTTAAAGCAAAAAGTGTTCGTGAATTAGATATGCCAATGAGAGATTGTAAACCAGAAAATTTTGAAAATATTCAAGATGAAATCAATCGATTTAAAAATAAAACATTAATGGATGTTGTTTATGAAAAGATACCAATATATGATAAATTAAAAATAACAACAATTAAAAGTAAACAAAAGGAAAATCAATTTGATTTAACATGTTTAAAACCGATAAAAACAATACCATTACGAACAACAAGTACATGTTTGGTATCATCTGGATTATATTTATTAATTAAACAAACTGAACAAGTTTGTGTAATATTTGATCAAAATGATAATAAAATACATGAATTCAATACGACTGATATTATCTACGATTTATGTTGGTCATCGTACATGAATATGTTTCTTGTTTTATGTAAAAGTTTATTATTAACATGTGATCCAAATCGAACATTTCAATTGAATATTGTCAGAGAAATGAATGCTAGCACGAAATGTAGAGAAAATGATCCCTGGTCAATTAGTGTTCATAATTCAGATGCATATGTTGTCTATAGTAGTGGCATAATTCATCGATTTAAAATATCAAATTGGGAAATAATTGATCAATGGTCTTCGAACGAAATATTGAAGAAAACAGATTATGCTGTTTGTTCTATTAGAAATAATGGTACCTATTGTGGTTTGTTAATTCTTCAAAAAGATCTTCATTGGAGAATTGATTTGTTCGATTTTGATATGGTGCAACAACGCTATGGTTTACCCATTGATCAAGCACCAGATGAATGTTCTCTGTGGGTAAATTTAACAGTATTACACAACGATGAATGGTTATTTTGTAATAAGTATTCAAACAAGGTCTATTTAATCGATAGTGAGGGTAAAATCAAACAAATTGGTAAAAATTGCACCGGCGCTTGTTTGATGAATGATCAATGTGTAGGAATTGTTACAACGGAGCCACAGTTAGAAATTATTAAATTATAATTTGTGCCAAAGTACGTTGAGATTATGTTATGAATGAATATAGTCAAATTTTTCGTTTTTGATTTGATTGTATTGAAAAGTATTTGAGAAATAAAAAAGTATGGTCGTTGCCTAAAGTACGAATGATTTCTACAAAAGAGCAACTTTATTGTTGTGCATACAACCTGTTCTATAACAAAATTGTTAAGTCATATCTAATGGCTTAAAATCAATTTCAATAGTTTCCAGTAGATTAGGAGCCAAATTTTTCGACAATTTGTAAACTGAAAAGCATTCTGTTGTCAATAACCATCTACTTCTAATGTATCTATGTCCTGTTTAACATCTTTTCGGTCGTTTCGAAATGACAAGTGATAGAACTTCGCTCTCATTTATGCTTTTTGTGTTATGCTGATGACAGAAGCGGTTGGAAATGTTATTCAAATTTCTGTTGGATTCACAGTTATTCAGTGGAAATAAAATATTCTCGGTGAGAAAGCATTTTTATTCAATCAACTTACCCTTAAATTAAAACTGAGAATACAGACTACAGAACTGATTACTGTGCCACAGTGGGCATTTCTCCATAGAACAGGTGGACATCTCGTTTTTTGAGTTAAAAAATGATTATTTTCGCATAATATGGTGTTATTATGTGTCAGATATTAATAAAAATAAAAAAACTCGAAAATTTTTTCGATAAAAAAGTCCCTAGGATTGCACGAGAAAAACCACAGATTACCATAGGACCATGCTCAATCGATGTCTCAGATTTGCTTCTGACTAGTTCTGTCTTGTTCAGTATGTGCGAAAGCCTATAAATCCACATTTTGAGCGTTCTGGGACTTTTACTTTCTGAGTTCTGGACGGTTTTCTAGAGTGCGCTAGATGGAAAATTCAGCGTGTAAAAAATGGCGAGCAAAAATAAAGATTCTGTCTCTCCGCTAACATAAGTGATGAAAGAGGGAT